CCTAAACCCCAAAACCCTGAACCCTAGACCGTGAGGGTTCAGCCCGAAGTCGCGGAAAGCAGGCACAGGCCGGGAGTGGCTACAAGCAGGCATTGAAGGACGGCCGAGGGGTGAAGCAAGCGGAGGGTTGCTTTTGGAGTTTCGGGCAAGGAGGGGCGAGGACTCAAACTTCCCATCGTTTTTTTGTTTATTGTAGGTAGGCAGACATGAGTGTCGCAGCATCTGGGATAGTCTATGCAGTGCCCCGCCACTTCATGAGCCTATTGCAGGCTAGCTGGTCCAAAGTTTGGGAGTCGTGTCACCAGCAGCTGCCTAAGCCTTCGGAGAGGAGATTCGAAACGGGCGGAAGACGAGCCACTGGATCTGGTGGGTCTGGCCCAGTTTGGATCAAGTGCGGAAAACGTCGCGGCCCCAGTACTCTCTCCGAAACTTGGGGGATGTGAAGGCCTTTCTGGCGGATCCGGGTCTGCGTCGGCACCTCCAGGAAATCAGCGAAGCTGCACTCTCCCACCTGGAGAAGGGCGTTCCGCCAGGCACCCTCTTCGGCTCCCGCACCGATGTAGAGAAGTTTGAGGAGACGGCGACATGCTTCGCACTGGTCGCTCTGGAGGCCCGCGATCTGCGGCTGGCCGAGCTGATGCTGTCCTGCCTGGATGCTTTGGGACAAAAGCTCCATGCCAAAACCGCGGAGTACTTGCTTGCTGAGGGCCTATCGTCTGTCTCAGAGACAGAGCTGGATCTCAAGTGCTTGAGGAGCCAATTGGTGAAGCTCCAAGACAGCGAAGAGCCGGAGCCTGGGGATCACGCCTCTGCCCCTGCCTCCCCTGCTGAGCCCGAGGAACAGCCAGGAGAAGCCGAGGCCCCCGAGAAAGAGGAGCTCCCTGCCGCTGAAAGCGGCCTCCCCCTCCCTGCCTGAGCCGCGCTGGCACGGGCTGCACATGCATTGGCATGCACACAAAGTCACGACAAGGCGGCATCCTGTACAGCTCGAAACATGCGAGTGCTCAAGATGTCAGCTGTACAGCTCTCACGGCCAAGCGCCTGTGAAAAAGTATGGGCGACTGTAAGGCATTTGGCTTGCGCAGGATTTTGTTCTGTGACCGTGGTGATGCGCCCAGGCCTGGCTTGGTTGGGGCCGGGCAGATGCCAAAGGAGCAGCTGAAGGGTGGCCAGGCGGAAGGGTTTCATACTGAAGTGGCAGGCGAATCAGGCCTTTAAAGAGCTTGGAGAAGGTGCTACCTGTAGTTTTCGAAATCGTGCTCACGCTTGACGGGTGTCTTGCATGGCTTCATTTCCACCCTATCCGTCGTTTCGCAAGTTCAAGATCGCTGGAGAGGTGTCGGGCGAAAATACGGTACGCAACAGCTACGCCACATTGGCGAGCCGTGTTAGGAGAAGCGCCTTTGCTGTAAAGTACTTTATGCAGGCATTTGCAAAGAGAAGCGTCAACACCATTACAAGAAGCTGTAGCATCATCTGCATTATCATGGTGACAATGCCAGTGAAGGGAGTGCAGTCGTACCAGCAGCCATCGAGCACAGGAGTCTCTGCTATACCCGTAACAACGGTTGGAATCGCATCAAACGAAGAAAAGTGTACAGCCAACAGTACTGACAATAAAGAAACAACAACCACACCCCCGACAGCATCCACCCAGACAGTATCGGCAGTCACACTGCCACCTGACCCACCTGTGGCGTCAGTCGCCTTCAGCAGCTAATCACTCTTGCCCAGCAGCCAGGGAGGCAAAGAGGGTCGCAGGGAGCTGAGCTTGTGAGACGCGGACATATGTGTATACATGCGCACAGGCATGCAGCACGTAGATGATAATGGCGGAAACTATGTCGTGTTTGTGCATGTATGCTAGTCTATGAAATCACGACTCACATAATTTACAGATGTAATGGCAAGCGTACATCCATGTGTAGCATTGCTCGTATTCATCTCTATAGATAAACTATATATATATATGTATATATATATATAGATATAGATACATACATATGCATGCATATGCGTAGGAAGTAGATAGCTTTTCCACACACTGACAGACACTGAAACAGACAGACAGACAGACAGACAGACAGACAGCCAGACTGACTGACTGACTGACTGACTGACTGACTGACTGACACAGACAGAGACAGACAGACACAGACAGACCGACATATAGACAAACAGACAGCCAGCCAGGCAGGCAGGCAGGCAGACAGATCGACCGACAGACCGACAGACCGACCGACCGGTTGACCGAACATACAGACGGACAGACACACGGCGAACGAGAGAGAGAGAGAGAGACAGAGCGTCGCGTGCGAGGGTTCGGGCGTCCGCTCGTTCCCTCTGGCCTGGTAGAGAGAGAGAGAGAGAGACAGAGCGTCCTACCCTCGTATCGTAAATGCCACTATTGCAACTCGTGTTTTCGCTTCACTAATGGCGCGATTGCCACGGCTGTTGCTATTGGTTTGGTGTTTTGTTTGCTTCCTGTCTGCATCGAGTTTCATAGATGTAAACCCTGTTGTACGACTGCTGCTATTCACATTCTAACCATTACATTACGAGTTTCTTCGGTGCATCACAGGATCAGACAAACACGGGATGTATGGGATGCCGGTAAACTCAGGTTTTGGAGTCTTTGGCAAGCAGGATGCAGCAAAGCGCGCTGGTCTCAGATTCGCATGTGGGAGGACGGAGTAGGTGTTTGCAAAGCTTCGATACTACTTGAGATGCAGTATTCCGCTGACTTTCTGTGCCACGTCGTATCTCAGCATATTCGTCAAACTGTCTGTGACATATGAGCAGTGCCCAGGCACGAAACATAAGAAGTTGGAGGAGTACTTCGTGCAGCCGAGGCACTCTGCAACTGCTTGAGTCATTCCGCATCCAACCCAAGCGGTAGCACCAAAATGCTTTAAAAGCAGAACTCTACCTGCCCATCTATCTGTTTATTTGTCTATGTATCTGTCTGTCCGTCTGTCTATCTATCTGTCCACCTACCTATCTGGGACCTGTACACCTATCTATCTATCTATCTACCTATCTACGCTGTCTACTTTCTCTAGCCTATCTACCTGTCTACCGATCTACCGATCTACCTATCTGCCTATCTCTCTCTATGTACCTATCTGTCTGTCTATCTGTCTATCTATCTATTTATCTATTTATCTATCTATCTATCTATCTATCTATCTGCTTACCTATCTATGCATCTGCATCTCTGTCTCTCGATCTGTCTCTCTGTCTATCTATCTATCTATCCATCTATCTGTCTATCTATCTGTCTATCTAACTTATCTATCTATCTGTCTATCTATCTAATGTACCGTATGTATGCAACGTATGCAGGCAACGTATGTATGCAACGTATGTATGTATGTATGTATGTATGTATGTATGTCTGTATGCATGTAAGTTTACATGCACATACACCTGCTTAGATACGTTGACACACACACACACCCACACACGCATTTCGCATGATACACTCAAAGAGCTTCGCCGCAAGCGGGAAGGCCATTGTACCAAGAACATAGAACAACAGTAGCCATAGTCATAACAGTAACAATAGCAATACAACAATATGTTAGCAAAATATAAACAAATATAAGAAGATCATAACTATTATTTTTATTGTTGCAGATTCGCCGCCGGGCGCCTCTTTGCGGGAGGGACGACCTTCACTTCCCTGGCAGCCGGGGCCCCCGGAGCGCAGGACGTCCGTTCGAGCGTGTGGGGGTCAGGGTTAGAGTTTAGGATTACTTGGAGGCCTGGGGGACTTAGTAAGTGGGTTATAAGTAGAGTTATAAGCACCCTAAATGGAGTTACCCCAATTATAACCCTACTTATAACCGACTTCCTATTTTTTTGGGGCCTCTAGGTAGGGGATGGTAGGGCCCTAAACCTTAAGCCCTAAACCCCAAATCCTAAACCTTAAGCAGGGTTCAGGGTTGGGGGATGGTAGGGGTTCAAGAGTTTAGGGTCCGGGGTTGAGGGCTTAGATTCTGGGTGTGGTAAGCCGGGCATGGGACAGAAGCCCTGCACCGTGAAATCAAGGCCAACACCTTTTACAATCCGACGCTGATTGACCTCGTCGATGCCTCGTCAGGTTGGTTTTGCCTCGGAAAGAGTGGATGCAGTTTCTCCGGGCACCTCTGAAGTTGTAGATATACAGCGGCATCGCCGAGGTTCGATCCTAATCTGCTGGCATCTTTGGAGGGTTTGGCTTGGGCCCATCTGAAGGCTTTAGCCACTGCCCACGAGCCCAGGTGAGCACCATGGTCACGCACAGTCCCCAGACTTTAGCCGCTTGCTGTAGCAGTGCCTCGCTGCTGCAGCACTGGTTAATTTGATCTGTCCTTTCAACTGCTGCAATTCAGAAACAGCGGGCGAGAGAAGCTGAAACTCGGTACTGGAGACTGCGAGAAAGTCTTGCAGTTGTCATGTATTCACGCTGGCATGGGCGCTGGCGTTGCCTCTGACCCTGCCGCTGATGATGAGGTGATAGGCAAAGTAATGGTGATGATCAGCAGGGGCAGGAGGGGGCTCTAGCGGCGTGGGCGAATGCTGCTGAGCAGCCTGATGATGTTGGGGAGGACATTGGAGCCTGAGCCAGTGCTGATGGAGCTGGTGGTCATGATGGCGGAGGTGGATATGACGATGATGATACGTCTAGATCAAGACGAGGAGGAGGCAGCGAAGGGCCACCAAGAACCACCAAGAACTTCAGAAGTTCATCATGGGACTATACACTTTTTTCAGGTGTAGTGTGACGCTTTCTTCCCAAGGACGCAGATCAGGATGGTGAAGCTCCCGCATTCCTGGGCCATGGTCTCGGCTTGCTTCTTGAAGGTACAAGTACGTCCGAAATCGGTGCTCTGTGTGCCGGCAGGTGCCTTGTTAAATGCCGGCCCAGGAAGGCAAATCCTACTTCGAGCTCTTCGACTTCTTGCTCTGGAAGGAGAAGCTCTTGGCGGTGGGCATCTACAGAACTGCCCTGGGCTTAGCGAGCCTGATTCGTACTGCCCTGTGCCGTCGCGAGAAGCCGTGCAACAAGCCCTCGTGCTAGCCGCGGGCACCAAGTGTGCTGGCGTGGCGCCATTGCATCATGCAGCGAAGGGACCTCGTGACAGATAACAGGTTGGCTCGCGTACAGCGTGCTAAGTGTAACTTATGTATCCCATCCTCATGTTCCTCCGCCTTCTCCTCCTCATCGACATCATCAGCAGTCGTCATCATCGGTCATGAGTCATTACCTTGTTCGTGATCAGCTTCAAGCTCTTTTTGGTCGTCAGGGTCGCCGCGGTCATCATTTGTCATCAGCGCCGGCCAGACTGCCATCGCCGCATCATTGCAATCAGGAGCATCATCCTCGTCATCATCACTGTCATGATATCCGTCGTCATCACCGTCGCTGTCATCATCAGCATGAGCCTTTGTTCCGCCTGGTTGGTGCTAAGAAATCACATGGCCAAGGCAGAAGTGAGTCCTGGAGGCTCGCTCTGCAGTCGGCAGGGGGTGTTTGCATTTTGCGAGTTTCCTGACAGGGACACCTTGAAACCGTAGGGTTTAGGGTTCTTACATGTTCCATCATCTTCCCGAGGCGATGAAGACGAGGTGGAAACGACAAGTCGTCACTTGTCTGCAGATTAGCCCACAAGCTGCAATCTTCTGGGGCCGACAGTTCTGAGTGGAACGAGTCTCCTGGCGCCCGGGACTCCCACTGCCAGCTTGAAAGAGCGGCAACATGGAGCAGACTTGGGGAGCGGAGGTCTTCAGGCATTGAGGCTTCGAACATGTCTACGATTCCCGACAACTTTCCTTTCTTAGCATGATGCACCAGAGCAAGAGCCCTGCAAAGAGCCGGTTCGCAGGCGGAGCCCGTCGGCAGAGTGTGAGTGGTGGAATGGTAAGCTCCAACCTGAGCCCTTGAAGCGCAGCTGGGAGTTTTCTTACGGTTGGGCTTCGAACGCATGTGCGTGAAGGTTGAAGATGTGCGCTGTTGCACTTTGCAGTTACTCCTCCTAATGCCCGGATCGTGGAAAGGCAAGCCTACGCAGGTTCATGACAAGGATGCACTGCTCAGTGATTTGTGGTGAGGTTGTTTTAGCAGTCACTTCCATGCTTAGCTGGAACTTCGTGTGCCGGTCCACTCGCAAGTGTCCGGACCGCCCAGACCCTTCAAACCGGAGAAGCCAGCACGGTGTGGAACCAAGAGTGCTTTGCAGGTGATCCGGGCTCCGGTGCCAATTGCCAGCAACACTGACAATAACTGTCATACTTCCGCATGGTCGTTGTCGTTGTCGTCGTTTTCGTCCTGGTAGCAGCCGTCGACGTAGCAGCGCTAGTAGTCGTGGTATCGGTAGCAGCAGCAGTAGCAGCAGTAGCAGTAGGAGTAGCATTGGCAGTGGCAGTGGCAGTGGAAGTGGAAGTCGCGGTGGCATTGGCTGTGGCTGTGGCAGGAGGCAACAGCAGAAGATGTTAACGAATATGTCGCTGAATGGTGGTGGTGGCGGTGGTTGTGGCAGTGGTGGTGGTGGTGGTGGTGGTGGTCGTTAGGGTGGTTGTGCTGTTTTCGGTGGTGGTCGCAGCCACCATTGCTGCATAGCACAGGCAATGGCATCAACTGCCATGGTACATGCAATCGTGGTAAACGCCTGCAATCCATGCCACGGCTCCTGCTGTGTGCCGAAAACAAACAGCAACGACACCAACACGAACGATGACGACGACGATGATGATGATGATGATGACGACCATGATGATGATGGATGATGGTGACGATGATGATGGTGATGAAGCTGATGATGATGATGATGATGAGGATGATGATGATGATGAGGATGATGAGGAGGATTATGAGCATGATGGTCATCATTCTTGTGCTACCGGTTATGGAGTCGTTTTCAACAAGAGCAGCTACCATGGCAAGAAAAGAAGGACCAGCTACGTAATGCAAAGAAGAAGCTGCAAACATGCACGGTTTGTACGCGAGCAACTCGTGTGGTCATTTTTGCGCTTCAGGCCCTATAGTCAGCGCGAAGATTTTTCACTGGAGGTTACAGTGGTTGTTCAGAATATCGGCTTCATTGTCACTAGCTTCAGTCTTCAGTCCCCCCTCAGTCGATCTATGGAATGCCGCAATATAAAGAGGGCTGCGCATGCCAGAACATCTGGGCAAGAACCGTCGTTCAGTCGTTGCGATAGTGTGCAGAAAAGCTTTCTCTTCGCCAGAGAGTGCCGAGGTGGTGATTCCGTGCGCGCCTCGCGCCTCACGGACTCGAAGGGCGGGGGGCGAAAGACGGTCAGGCACCACCCACCGCTTGAACATGCTTGAATCCCCGACGCGACTTGTTCACGGTGTGTCTGCATAATCCAGCTTGCCAGACTGTTCCTACAGGGCTAGAGCACGTCTTTCTGCAAATTGGCGGTGGTCAGCTTGTCGACTGGAGGGTTGTAGGTTCTGTGGTTTGAGCATTCGGGCTTGTCGGGGGAGCTGATTTTCACCAGGGTCAACTTCGTCTACACTGCACCCCCTGGCAAAGAGACTGTGCGAGGCCAAGATCAGAGGCTGTCTGTGCTGCAAAGGGTGCCCCAAATGGCCCATACAGTGTTTCTCTAACGACTTTGCAGTTTTGCAGGGTCTTTGTCTAGGGATGTTCAAGGTCCTGCAACTATTTCGGGTGAAAGACCCGTGCAACCGAAACCCAAACCCTAAACCCTAAACCCTAAACCCTAAACCCTAACCTTTCAAACCCTAAACCCTAAACCCTCAACCCTCAACCCTAGCAGCAACACCGAGGCCATGGTGCCCGGAGATCGAGTCATCTGCTTCGAGTGCAGAAAGGAGCCGGCAAGGGATGGCAAGGCGTTTTTTCCTCGCTGTGGAGATCTTTGTGGGGTTCCCTATTAAAACTACAGTATCATGGATTTAGGGTTTAGGGTTTAGGGTGGTTCCCTATTATAACTATAGTATAATGGGTTTTGGGTTCCCTGTTATAACCATAGTATCATGGGTTTTGGGCTCCCTTGTTCGAGTTCTAGTGTGGCATGATAGGTGGCCGGGGGCCATGGGCGCTTGGCAAGTTCTCTACTTCTTTAGCCAGCTACAGGTAGGAGTATCCTTGCCCAGTGGTCGTGAAGCACATCTAGCTGCTCCTGCGATTGGATGCTCTTGCTTTTGCAAGGAGTCGCCAGGTGCAACTCCGGATCAGAAGTAGCTAGTTCGGACACCTCCTACTAAGAACCCTACACCCCAAAACCTTAAACACTTACCAGCGATGAGATGCAGGACTTGTAGAAGGAGTGAGCTGCTCTCTCGAGATGCCTCGTCGGGGCCACAGCCACACACAGGCAGCTAGCTTCCCAGAGTGAGATCCCGAGCTCGGCCTAGCATGCCTCCAACGAGCCAACTTATTATACATTATAGTATCATGGAGTACTCTTCAATATCGAATAGAAGAGAAAATAAAGTAATGTCATTTACATGTCAAGCCAAAGGGTGGCTTGAATGGGAAGTGATCCTGCTCCTCGACAATTTGTGGGTGCGAACCCTGCATGCTCTTTTTTTAGCAAGCGGCCCGACAATGACTTTTTCTTAAAGTCCCAAGAAAGAGGAGGGAGAGGTTCCCAATAAAGGCCCGTCTGCAGCGATATCTTCGAAACTGGAAATGATCCTGATTACTTGGAAGATGCGTCATGGGCTCAAGAACACATCATCCTCAAGTTACCGGCATGAAGTCATCCGGAGTCAGGGCGATAGGAGTTTCACTGTGCAGAACATGCGAAGCATGCTCTGCCACATAGCTCGAGAGTCATTCAATGGAAGCGATGAAGACGTGCCCGATTCTTCGTGTCAGCATTGTCGGATGTAATTGGGCAGTCCGAATTCGGAAGCTGAGTGGCAAAAGCTGAGCATGGGAAGGTTGTAGCATTTTCCGGTCGTGGTGCTTCTGCTGCAGTCTGCGTTCTTGCAAGCTCGGTCCAAGATTGCATCATGCCGCCTTCATGGGTGTAACCTGTAAAACAAGCCATGTCATCCCATGTCGAAACATCGTCTGAGAGCTTCGGCACAGGTTCGAGAGAAGTCAGGGCAGGACGATCCTTCAAACCTCGCACACAGCTTCTGAGCGCTTCCATGGCGCTGGCTTACCGGCTGCCTGGCTTGTTGGACTGCTTCTGCGAAGATTGGGGGGCCTGAACCTTTCATTCCTGAGGCCCTGAAGGCCCTGAACACTTTGGACGCTCTAAAGCCCCCCAGAACCCACGCCCCCAAACCCTGAACCCGGAATCCCTTCAACCTCTGAAGCCTCAAACACCTAATCCCCTGTACCCGACAATATCTGAACCCTTTTCCCAGCCAGGCTTGTCTTGTTTGCCGTGCTTGCCTCCCTGGTCTACTCGGGCCCGGCAGACCATGGGGACACCACCAGCAGGACCGAGCGTCAGGCCCTCAAGGCTGAAGAGCAGGGCTTGCACTAGATTAACCTATTGTAGCTCTATGTGTGTGCGTATACCGAAATGTATGTCTGTATTACACTTCTACAGTGGCAGAAATACAATTTGACATAATGCACAGGTACACAACTAGATACACATTTAATTCGGGCTACTTATATATATATATATATGTGTTTATGTACATACCTACATAGAGACATGAATACTCTCTCTCAGGAAACAACTGGGCCGTGCTGGTGGAGACGTCTCGCTACTGGTATAACTATCGGCACGCAGCAAATGCCCCTTGGAATCGAAGCTTACCCTTCTTTTTTCATGAAAAACATGTCTAGCTTACCCTTCTTGTGAGAGACCGGAGGGGAGAAGAGCTGCAGTTACTCTTCACGTTGCTGCGAAGGTAAGCAGCCGAGCGCCCACCCGATTGAACACTGCTTCCCGTCTCAGACGCTGTCCTTCTACCACACTGTGAAGCGCCTTGGTATCCCCGACTCACAGATCATCCTCATGATGGCAGAGGACTCCTGGGGCCAAAGGGGGTTCGACTGCATCGGGTGCAATGGCAGAGTTGCGAGAGCTCACATACTCTCAAGCAGCGACATTCGTCCCGAA